AAAAAAAAACCTAAGTTATTACTTCGTAAATAAATTTATTATGAAAGAGTCTATTATTTAGCAAAAATATATATTTTAAAATACGCATATATGTATATTTAATTTATATACAATATATTTTACCAACAATTTTATATCATTTTCTTCTTGTTAGCCATATGAATATCTTAACAATATGTATATAAGCCGTAAATAATGGATTTCTTTTTTACACACTATTATTCATTGTCTCTTTTAGGATTAAGTTTTTTCAATAATCAACTGACTAAAAATATTTTTTCATATCTTTTCTGGCAAGCTTTTTATACGTAATAAAAATATGAAAATCTTATAAATAATCCTTGCTGTAATATTGGTAGAGTAGTACATAAATACATGATACTATGTATGTCACAAATTATGTTCAAAATTTGTCTTTTTTTTTAATTTTTTTTTTACATAAGTTTATGGTATCCATATACATTGTGGAAGGATATATAAAATCTTTACCTTTTATTTATGTATAAGATTTGTTTCTTAAATAAACTTTTTTATTTAAAAAAAAAAAAAAACTAAAAGACACTAGAAAATGACATGTGTCATTGTTGATGTGTCTTTTAGTATTTAGTTATTGATTGGTTTTTGATAGCTGAATAAAATATTTGTTACTCTGAAAAAGTTTAATAAAAAGCACTTAAGAGGTCGTTTGATTGGATCATTTGAAATTGGTTGGAATGAAGTTAGAATCCATTCCATCTAGTTTTTTTATTTGGTTGAGGTTTTTAGTAATGAAATCTCATACCTAGGGGTTCTAACTCCCCCCCTTACTATGGAATCTCATACCCACGCCTCCTCTAAAATTCACAATCCATTCTATTAACGAAGGATAAAATATATTCCAACAATAAAACCAAACAACTTTAAACTAGTATGAGTTTTAGAATCCATACCTCTCTGGTATGAGATTCTATACCAATCCATTCCAACTTGATGAACCAAACACCCCTTACAGTAGTCCTTTCACGTGAAATAATGGTTCCAGCTGTTGTTAGTTGAAACTAACTATAGTTAAGCTTGTCTTTATTTCCTAGGTCCTTTACCTTTCATGTTTGTAGTTTTCATAGTTGCAAGTCGCCATTTTGTTTTTCTCTGTTTTAGCAAAATCAACGACAACCAAAGAGCAATTGCGAAAGAGTATGGCAATATGTAGTCGATTTTATGGTTAAGTGATAACTGGTGATCGGTGTTTTCCGATCAAAGGGGTTTTTTTTGAGCTGGGTAGCTGGTAAATTAGCAAGTAGCAATTTTACTGATTTTGCAATTAAATGTTACTGATAAAGTGATAATTGGGGAAGTAATATAATATAGCATGATTAGTTTGCTAAATTAGCAATTTCATTAATTATGCAATTAAAATTAAAATTAATTGGGGAAGTAAATTAAAAATTATGTGTGTTTTGTGGGTTAGGTGGTTGCGTTGATGACATTTAGTTACCAAAATTGTTGGGATGGCCGGATGGGTGTGCAGAATGTTTAACCAGATGCATGTTATGTAATTTATTGGAATTAGGTAGGTTAATTTATCTGTAAGCTATTAATTGGGTAGGCAAATTGCTGAAGCTTGTGATTTTGTTAGTGTGGATGAATTTGACAAAGTAGTTGAGCTTCGTCTTCTTCGTTCGTCGTTGGTTATGTACTTAGTCTTCGTCGTTTGTGTTTAGGCCTTTAGGGTTCTTCCTGTTCATCCAATTATTTTTTTTAACTTTCTCGCTCCTGGTTACTTTGACTTTCTCTCTCCTGATTACTTTTGTAGCAAACTCAAGGTTGATTCATGTGCCCCCAACGTCCGTCAAATTCCATTTGCCTTGCTGGATAAAATTACATAAACACCCATACTCCTTTTGTGGGGAATGACGAAAATAGGGCTTACAAGTTTATCCAGGAGATAAATATGAATTTTCTCCTAGCCCCACACAACCACACCCAAAACCAACCCTTTCCCCTTACCCTTCCCGTCGACCAGGGCACTTAGCAGCAGGGGCGATCGACTAGCACCGTCACTGTCTTCGGTCACCAGTGGAAAAGTTTCGAACGGTGAATTTGGGTTTTTGGGTGGCTGGGTTTCTAATAGTAGTTGGGTTTAGGAATTCAAACAGTGTTTGAGTTTTGGGTTTGAATGGACAGTATAGCTGGGTTTTGAAAGGTGGCTGAGTTTTGAACGGCTGATGGCAAGGTCCCGAATAGTGGCTGGATTTCAAATGGGTGGCTAGGTTTCGAATGGTGGCTGGGTTTTGAACAATGGCTAGGTTTCGGGTGGAAATGGCCAGGTTTCGGGTGGTAGGTGTTTAAGGGGGGTGGTGGCTAAGTTTCGGGGGGTGGGTTTTACAGGGGGGTGGTGGCTGGGTTCGAAGGGGTGATTTTTGGGGCAGTGGTGGCTAGGTTTCCGGTGGTGGGTATTTAGGGGGGTGATGGAGTTTGGTGAAGGTGTGGTGTAAAGTAAGGGTTAGGTTAGTAATTTAATAAATTAAGGTAAAATAAGCTAGCCATAAATCAATGGGTTAACCATATTTAAAAGGATTTAGGCCAGGACTTAGATTTAATCAATTCTAGGAAGTCACTAGAAATTAAGGTCAAATTTTTTTATAGAATTTTCAAATTATGGAGGCCATCATGTAAAATTTTCCATAATATATTTATATTCATGTTTTAGGATGTTATTTCTTATAAAATTAATGTTCATGTTCGTTTTTAATTAACATAACATTTTGTGCTTGGTCAGTTGTATAAATGTACATTTTTGTGCCAAAGGATGTTCAATTGACATTATAATTAAAAAGATTAGACATTAGTATTTTGTTCATTATTTTAAAACATTTTGTTGATTATTTTAATTGATATAAATCATATGTTTCAACAAATTGTAGGACATTCTTTCAATAAAATTGAGCAAATCAAGGTATTTTCCTTTTAACGGATGTTCTTTTTACTTTAAAAACCACATAGGTACGTAAGCTATATTTTGTAAAAAAAAAAAAAAAAAAAAAAAAAGGAGAGCTCTATATTCATATTCATTAAGGTTATTATTGTTCTCATTTTTAAAAGTATATGTTCATAATTTTAAGGCATGACATTGAAGGATTTATGTCTTCGTCAAGTGTAATTACTAGATATATTGGATCATTATTATAGAGATAATTAGTTCATTCTTTTGGATCATCATTGTTTGTTGCTAGATATAATAAATGATCTTTGGGCTAGTCAAATATTCCAAAGCGCAATAGATCCTATAAGGTCACACACAAGGATTATGGATTGAACAAAGTATGAAGCTCATTCATGGGTCTCATGAGGTAATGACAAACCACATAAGTAGTAAGGCTAGAGTAGTTTGGGCTTCACATGAACTCTAATTATATATGAGATATATAAATAGAGGTCTTGCCTAGATTAAGAAAAAAAGTCACAATTAACCTAAGCAGTAGATTGTGAAGCAAGCAAACAAACTCCCAACCCCTCTCTCTCTCACACGCCTCTCTCACTCCCTCCCCTAGTCCGTACGGTACGGACACCGCTACACGGTGGACGCACGGTGGTGGTGGTGGTGGTGGTGCTTCGTGGCTTGCTCGTTTCCTCTCCTCTCCGTAGAAGGTAGATCGTAAGGTTCGATCTCAACTAACTAGCATTAGTGGAGGTTCAATTGTTGCCCGTGGACCAAGTAGAGGAATCACGTTTGAGGTTCTTGTTCTCCTTATTGCTCTTGCTTGATCACTCGTGGAATCACACTTCAAAGGTATAATCATGTGTTCTTTATGTGTTCTCCTTATTGTAAATTACATTTAACTTTGGTTAACTGTTATTTTTTCTCTCCTCCTTCAACCTTTTGATGTTTTCAGATTTTCTCTCTCATCCTTCAATCTTTTGTTGTTTCCTCTCCTCCTTTAACCTTCAATTTCAATGGTGGAAAGTACACCTTTTCACTGTGACATCAAACGAGTCGAAATCAATGAAGTTAACCATGCCAGTTATTTTCACTTTATTATTTGGGTTTTCGTTTAATTCTGGCGGTGAAGCCGCCGGAAATGGTGGTGCGAAGTCGAATTCAATGGAGGAAGGAAAACTTAGCTACCGTTTAGGTTTAACCATGCCATTAATTTCTTCTTTTGGTATTAGGGTTTTCGTTTAATTTCGCCGCAAAGCCTGTAAGAAAGATTGGAAAGAATGGTTTTTTATAACTCAAAACTATATCTACATCCTGTAGATTTTCATTTCTATGATCATCATCGATCATAGATAGACCCTTTACCATTCTGTACAAATGGGGTATATTCCCGTTCTTGAAAATCCGCACTTTTCCGAAAATGGAGTCGAACGAACTTGAAAGAGAAGATGAAAGTGGGCAGAGATTGGAAGAAGAAGATTAAGGTGGGTAGGAAGAAAACATATGAACAATTGGAAGAAGATGAACATGAAGAAGAAGGTGGGAGGAATAAGATGATGAATAGTAGTAAACGGTGAGTTAACGTATTAACTTCAAAAGTCTATTCAACTTGTCATAGTGGCCCATAGACAGTAAAAATATATATTTTTTCTTAATAAAAAAACACAATTTCAATGCAACTTATTTACAAAAATTATAACTACGGTAGGACCTTCAATTATACATTAGAAAAATGAAATTATTTTTATCTTGAATTTGGTTTCACTATTTTGAAGAAATTTTAATTTGCAATTGGACAAATGATGGAGGATTTCTAAGGACTATCTATAATCTATAATATTAGTTAGATATTTGTGATAATATTACATGTCGATAGGTGTTTTAATGTCTATTAAACAGTAAATTTTCTACACTTAGCTTTTATATAGCTAACCCTTGGGTATACTCCAACCTACAACCCAAAAGAAAAATTAAAACAGTTGTATGAGATTCAGTTCCAGACAATGTAAATTGAACTTTATATCTAAACACAATTGCATTACTTTTCCCAAGCAACTGTTTTTAAAGGTTAATTTGTAGGTAATGTGTTTACATAAACGTTTAGAAAGATTGTAACATCAGATAAGATTATACTGCTATATACTTCGTGTATCGCAGTCACGTGGAGGAGCAACATCTATGTATGAATATGGTTGAGTTCATGGCAAGGCCATCTTTTTCTTTGGGTAGAGCACTTGAACTCCAAGTGAAAGGAGCAGCACTATGCATAAGGTGACTTGTGCAATACTAAGACTTCTAGATCGTGAAGTCATCTCCAAGTTCAGTGATTACCTCATTCACTTTATTCACCATATCTGAAATAGAACAATAGAACACCAATTAGAACAAACAGATGAAAATAAGAATTAACGAAACAAGTCATGACTCATTCTTAGCTTAACAGTGATTCAAGTCTTAAATTTGGAATCATAGACTTTATAATTCAGCAGGTGAATACTAAGAGAAGAATTTAGCCCTACATAACACCATATAGCTATAATACAAAGTTTGACAGTATATTCAACTGTTTTTGAGCAAGTATCTTGTCCCAATAACCAAGCTTATTACTAGCATGTAGGAATTGAGATGCATAAGATACTATCAGGCACCTTTTTCCTATTACCTGAGCTTGAAAATACTTAAATCATCACTAAAACAAAGCCTAGAACTCGATGAATATAAACGAGCATGCAGCGTGAATCACAATCAGCACTGAGATTAACTTATGGACTAAGATCTTAGAGGCTAATAAAATCATTACATTAAACAACCAACAAATCCTGCAGTTCAGAAAGCTTTAACAAACAACATGACTCACAGTAGATGAAAGTTAAAAGGAACCACTAGGAGCCATATATGAGAGTTACTTACCAAGGAAAGATGCATCTTGCATATATTTCTGCAAGGAGATGCAGAGTATTAGTGACGGTAAAAACCAGAATCAGATGTATTAGAGGCCCTAATTTTTTAATTCTATAAGAAATAAACAGTTCCAGATGTTCAGGTCTGCTTCAACATAATGATGACAGGATCCAATTAATATTAGTGTGGCAAGTTGAGTGAAGAACAAGTACCGAAATTTGAGCTTTTAGGTTAAATTCCTGCGGACCAGGTGCAAGAGCAAGAGCTAATTCATCTGCGTACAGCACAGGAAAAAGGTGATGACTCATTGTTGAAGGAGCATGAAGTTATTGTTTGAGGAGGATAAGAGCATACCATGTTTGTGCTCAGCAGAGCAACTGGACACAAGGGATGTGAAGCGAGGAGGAAGCGCTTCAACATTGCTCTGAGAATCAGCAACTGTATTTTGGGTCTGTAATTCCTGATATTCATTGAGCAAGTTCTTTGACGGGTTAGAATCATAAGCCGGGGTCATCATGCTTGATGTGTCAGGCCTACAAATTGATTTAGAAATTATAATTAATCTAGATGTACTTTGCAAAATGAGCGAACATTCCAAAATGTAGGGCAGGTAAAGCAGAAGTTTGTCATGCAGTTGTCAGGAGTACCAGAAGTTAAAGCTTCATCAAATGACTTTACCTATACGCAGGAATAAACTCAGACTGAGAAGACATTGCAGATATGGCACTAACAGTTAAAGGTCTGTTAGGGATTTTATTCGAAAGGATAGCCTGCAAATCAGATATGACAAGCTTTGTCATGAAATATAATTTATCTTTCAAAAGCATTTTCACAATATCAACACATCACATTAGAAAAAAGAATTGGTTTCACCTGCAATGAGGTTATAAAATTTTGTACTTCTAGGACTCCTGAAAACCGCATTGCAAACTTCTGCTTCTGCAAATAAACCAAATCCATCATGAGCCTGACCGTTTGAGGCATAATCACATTTACTCATGGAAACAAGTCAAAGTCGACCTATTTTCTGATTTTTTAACTAACACTTACCACAAATCAGTTCATTTTTATCAGATAAAACAGCATATGAAGATATAATAGCCATTAGTGTGACAAATCTCAAATTACTAAAGTGGAGAAATGACTAGCTTCTTCCAAACTGCACTCTCATGTTTTTTAATCAAAAGAGGCATCTCATATATCAACTACTTTATAGAAATCACATATCCTTTTTGCAGTTACAGTTCAGAATATGTAAGCACTGCGGTTTCATATAATATCGAGTCAAACTAAACAATCATATTGAAAGGCCACTATTTCTAGAATGGAAACAAAGGCATATGAGCATTTGGAAGCACAAAAGGTTAGCTTACCTCATCTGAACAGTCAACGTAGCTTGCAAAGACAACTAGGCTACCTCGAGTAGGAAACCCAGAGAGACATGAGACTTGAGGCCAGACAAACTGCAGCTTGGAGATGAAGTGATCTTCCTGCAAAAAGAAGTTAACAATTAAACTACACGAACCGACATTCAAGTCTTAGTGGCTTAAAAAGTTGTCTCAACTCAATTAATCAATTATAACTTTTGATGCTCAACTTGTTTTGATCATGAAAATGCCATACCGTACACACAGTACTCGTACACCTATTAGCATTCAGAAGAACCTCGCCCCAAATATGAAATATCAACTGTTTTAACCATTATTGTCAATGAACTTCAAGAGCTGCTCATCATTAGTTCATTAGACCAACAGTAATCTGCTGACGTTTACTCAAAAACTCGTAGCAGATTAATAATACCTTTTGGTTAAGAAAAATGTATCGTCTAACAATGTGATGAACCTAAAACAAACTAAGAATTCACTGAATCATAAGCTCATTTTATAATCCACCAATTGTACACAATATTGTGTCATCAGAGTCGTCGAATTCACAACAACTCGCTGCTAGGTACATATTTCGATCCAGTGTATAAATAATGTATGAGCTCAAAATCGCTTCTCACAAGTCACTACGTACATTTCACAGAAATTCAAACGAATTCAAAACTGCAAAAACTATAAGATGAGAATTTCATCAAAATATGACTATCAGCGAACTTACACATCAAAATTAATTTCAAATTGTAAGTTCGAAGCCATTTCAACAATCGAAAATTATCATCAAAATTAAAATTCGAAGTCATTTCAACAATCAAATCATCACTAAACAGTAATCACAACATCATAACAACCAAATTTAACACAATTATCAATAAAATATCACAAAATTCTCGAGTAAGAGTTCTAACAATAATCATTAGCAATCGCAAATAGCAACCAAATTTTAATCCGATTTTTATTCAATAATCCAGTGAAACCTCATCAATAATCGCTGATTACAAAAACAACATCCAGTTTAAATCTAGCTCAAAATCCTCAATAAAATCATCGTTAACAGAGAGATAAGAGAGAGAAGCGTACAACAACAGTTCCTTGAAGAGAAACAGTGAGGATGGAATCAGCGGAGGAGCAGGCATCAGTGGAAGGATGGAGAGAGACGATGGAGAATCCAGAAGAAGTAATCCAAACAGGCTTGAATTGACTTCGCTTGAGAGGAGAGAGAAAAGAAGGAGAAGTACTAGTGGTTATGGCGGTGGTTTTAGAGAGGTACGAAGAAGGATAGGTGAAGCATCGAGCGTATTGAATCTTCCATTGCCATTGATTCAGATCTCTCGTCGTCATCGTCGTCGGTGTCGCCATTAACGACTTCTGAGTTTCTCTCTCCGCCATTTTTAGTTCTTGAGCTCCCGCCATTTTTCTCTATGTTTTTTCCTTTTTTTTCAATTTGAAATTAATTCTGTAGGGAATGAGGAATACAGTGATGTTGTTCGTATTTATAGCTTCTTAACCAATTAAACTCGTCATTTTGGGCGCTTGCTATTTGCTACTACGAGCATAAATTCTTGGGTGGACTTGACATTTATATACACTAAGAACTAAAGTTATTTATTGTTATTTTAATATGGTATCCTCATTTTTTAACATAGTAACCTTTATTAAAATTTGTGTGACCTTCCCGTCAAAATAAATAAATAAATTTGTGTGACCTTTAATGTTATTTCTGCTTACATCCCAAAAAATTAACCTCTTATAGCTTTTATAATGTCACAATCGCTTTTATTTCAACATAATAACCTTTATTTTAATGTAGTGACCTTTTTTTTTATTATTAATAAAACAATCGTAGTATCTCTAATGTTAGTGGTTCACAATAAATTTGTGTGAACCAAGTCCATTTAAGAATTTGTATATTTGAAGAGCTTAGTGATCGAACAATGAAATGGTTGAATACTAGGTTAGGTCGCGTGTCATATACGATAATTTTTAATAATTAATTTTAAATTAATACTATATAAAAAAATTTACATATATATTGTTGTAAACGGAACTGCTAAAATAAAGAAGGAACAAAGTTACCGGGAATGAGACTGAGTCGCGGACTATGTCGCTCTCTTTAGAACATTCACGGTACTGCCTTTGATGTGTGCAAGCAGCTCTAACGTAACCGGATGTCCCCCAAGATAAAACAGTCTCTCGTAACAAAAGGATATACCGATGGATTTGCACAGAACCACCGGACAACTAAACACCAACACTAATATAATAATGCTCGAATATTTCTGGAAAACGTTTTATGTAAAAGCAGAACAATGTAAAACGTTTTTGTGAGTTGTTTTTCTGTTTCAAACAGTGAGGGAGAGCCTCAAATTTATAGTGGCTGAAAAACAAATCTGGACGGTTTAGCAGAATGTACCTGGACGGTTTTAGCAAGCAGTTAACGGACGTAATTAAGGGCTTAATTCACGTCAATTAGCTGTTACAAAACGGACAAAAAATCAATGCAATAACCGTTACAGAACAGTCAAATAAAAACGGGCAAAAATGAAAACAGTAACGGTTAAGAATTGACTATGAAATCAGTTACAAAATAAAGGAATAAATCTTTGTTCAAAAAATATAAATCTGTTTAAGAAATCCAATCCAACCCAACCCGGCCCGGCCCGATTCGGTTCGGCGCGCGTGTGTTTGATTGGTTTAGTAGGTAAGTCCTTCCTCTCCACAAAATGTGGGTAGCCCAAGGGCCACACCCCTTTAGGTGACATACACCTATATAAACCAAGCAACACTCTTATTTCCCACCAATGTGGGACTCTAGCATTTTCACAAATTCACACTCAAAACAACTTTGTTCCAACAATCCCCCACTTGAATTTTTGAAAATATTTTCGAGCAGAATCCTTACATATATAGGTTGTGCATAAACAGAAATGTTTTTCAACTTGAAATTCTGCGTAGTGAATACGATTCAGATTTAACAAGGGTAACTCGAAGTTTTGAACCCTATCTCTGACAATGTACCACACACTACCTATTCTCGGTGTTAGTCATAGACCCGTGCTATTACGGCCATGCACGTCTATCCCAGTATAGTGAACGCTCTAGAAATGCTGCCACACATTTCATAGGAAGCGGCCTCACTTCCGCATTCACATAGGTGAATCTATCAAGAGTACTCCTGTAGCTAGGTACTCCACTCCAAATGGAGTATAGACTTCATTAAGAGTTCCTATTAACTCATCCTTGATCGCTTCAGGATTTATGTTATTTAAACATAATCAACTCATATCACTCCATAACTTGTTATTACCCATTGAACCTATTTCTTGGGATCTCCAGTCTATAGGTTGGGTTACCATTATGTGTGACTCATTTTAATGGCAATAGTCCCATTTTTTTAGAAAAATTATGGACTTTCTCTCTAGCTAATCCTTTCGTCAAAGGATCAGCCAAATTATTCTCAATGCGTACATGATCCACTCTCACAGCTCCAATAGAGAGATATTCTCTTACAGTGCTGTGCTTACGACGTATTTGTCGTCTCTTACCGTTGTAATAACGGTTCTGAACTTTTGCAATAGCCGCGGTACTATCGTAATGGATCAAGACAGTCGGTAATGGTTTTTCCCATAAGGGAATCTCACCAAGCAGGTCTCTTAACCAACCTGCTTCTTCACTAGCTGTAGCTAGTGCTATCATCTCTTACTCCATGGTGGACTGAGCCAAAATAGTCTGTTTCTTAGACTTCTAAGATACAGCTCCACCGGCTATAGAGAAAATATATCCACTAGTAGCCTTAGAGTCATCTGATAAGGTGTTCCAGTCGGCATCACTATAGCCTTCTAGTACAGCTGGAAACCTCTCATAATGTAATCCTAGGTTCATGGTCCTCTTAAGGTATCTCATGACCCTTTCAATAGCATGCCAATGCTCATTACCAGGACAACTAGTAAACCTGCCTAATAATCCCACGAAATAGGCAATATCGGGTCTAGTGCAATCAGTGGCATACCGAAGGCTGCCAATGACGCTCGCATAATCAGATTGCCTAACGGCTTCACCAGTGTTCTTAAATAACTTTACACTGGGATCATAAGGTGTACTAGCAGGTTTACAGTCAAAGTAACCATATTTCTTCAGGATTTTCTCAATGTAATGAGATTGATCCAAATAAACTCCATTTTCTGTCCTAGTAATCTTAATTCCAAGGATTACATTTGCCTCTCCTAGATCTTTCATATCAAACTCAGCATTTAACAATAGCTTTACATTATTCACAGCGTGAATATTCGAGCCAAAAATTAACAAGTCATCCACATACAGACAAATTATAGTGCAAATGTCATTCTCAAGTTTTACATATATGCATTTGTCACTACCATTTATCTTAAAACCATGTGAAATGACTAAGTTATCAAATTTTTCATGCCATTGTTTAGGTGCTTGTTTGAGACCATAAAGAGACTTATCTAATTTACATACCAGATGTTCTTTTCCTGGGATGACAAAGCCCTCTGGTTGATCCATGTAGATTTCTTCTTCCAATTCACCATTCAAGAATGCTGTCTTTACATCCATCTGATGTACTACAAGATTGAAAACAGAAGCAAGAGACATTAGCACTCTAATAGAAGTTATTCTAGTAACAGGTGAATAAGTATCAAAGAAATCAACATTCTCCCTTTGTCTGTAGCCTTTAGCTACCAAACGAGCTTTATACTTATCAACGGTCCCATCAACTTTCAGGTTTCTTTTTAGGACCCATTTGCAGCCAATTGTTTTGCAACCTGGTGGCAACTCAGTCAGATGCCAAGTTCGATTAGACTCAAGCGAGTCCATTTCATCATTTACGGCTTCTTGCCATAAATCTGCATCAACTGAGGCTAAGGCTTCTTGGAGGGTAGAAAGATCCTCCTCTACATTGAGAACTTCAAAGTCCGGGCCAAAGTTTTTTGCTACTCTAGCCCGTTTGCTTCTTCTTAGTTCGGGTTCGGCATTCAAGTCTTGTGAGTTAGACCTGACTACAGGAATAATAGAAGAGGACGAACCCCCACTATTTCTAGATTTGAAAGGAAACCTGTCCTCATAAAAATCAGCATCATTAGATTCAATAATTACTCGTGCATTTAAATCAAAGAATCTATATGCTTTACTATTAACAACATAGCCAATGAATACACATTCATAAGCTCTACTAGCTAACTTAACTCTTTTAGGATAAGGAATCCTAACATATGCCAGACAACCCCAAGTTCTGAAATAAGAAATGTTAGGTTGTTTGTTACGAAGTAATTCATAAGGAGAAACCTTACTCTTAGTCTTTGGAATACGGTTCAAGACATAACAAACAGTGAGAAGAATTTCTCCCCACCAATGATCAGCAGCACCAGAATTTAAGGAAATAGCAACTACTAACTCAATAAAAGTTCTATTTTTCCTTTCAGCCTTACCATTCATTTCTGGAGAGTAAGGAGCTGACCTTTCATGTATGATACCGTGTGAATTATAAAACTCTACAAAAGCATCAGTATCATACTCAGTTCCACGATCACTACGTAACCTTTTTATTTGCTTGTTGAACTGATTCTCAAACTCTGTCACAAACAACTTAAACATATCAAAAGCATCGCTCTTATTTTTCATCAAATAAACACGAGTATAATCAGAATAATCATCAATAAAGGTGATGAAATATCGTTGTCCATTTCTGGTCAACGTTCCATTATATTCACAAATATCAGAATGAATTAAATCTAACGGTTCTGAGTTTCTAACAACAGACTTATGAGGTGTTTTTGTGATCTTTGCCTGACTACAAAAATCACATTTATCAAAGTCATTGAGAGAAATATTAGAAATAAGGCCTAAATTGCTCATATTTTTTATGAGTCTTTTGTTCACATGACAAAGTCTAGCATGCCAAATATTAACAGAAGAAGACAACATATAAGCAGAATCAGAAATTTTATTAATCTCAACATTCAGTTTAAACATGCCATCAGTAGCATATCCTTTTCCTACAAACATGCCATTCTTAGTTAAAGTAAACAAATCAGAACCTATGGTTTGTGTAAAACCAGCCTTATTAAGAAGAAAAGCAGAAACTAAATTCTTTCTCATTTCCAGAGTGTGCAACACATCCTTCAGAATGAGAGTCCTGCTAGAAGTAAACTTCAACTCAACATTACCAATACCAGAAACAATAGTGGAATGGGAATCACCCAACAACACTTTCTTATCATCGGTCTTTTCAGAATATGTTTTAAACATCCGACGATCATAGCAGACATGGCGCGTAGCACCAGTGTCTACCCACCACCCATTTGATCCACCTGTAAGGTTGACCTCAGTAATCATAGCCACAAGAGGCTCTTCAATCATGCTTGCCTGTGCAGTTGCAGGGTTAGACATGTTCCTGCACTTACGTGCCATATGGCCTGGTTTTCCGCACCTATAGCATAGAAATTTACCAGTACCATTCTTAGGTGGTTGAGACTATTGCTTTCCATTGTTCTTTTGAACATTCTGTTTATTTTTGTTGAAGTTATTCTTCCGGTTCTGAGGCTTGAAGTTCTTACTAGCAGGCTTGAGAACTGCAGCAGATCGCTTAGGAGCATTGTTTGCAGTGAGCTGTAAGACTTCTTCTTTCTGGTCCTGTTTTCTGGATTCTCCCTCTATACGGAGCCGAGTGATCAAACTCTCTAAGGAGAATTCCTTAGTCTTGTGCCTGAGACTGTTTTTGAAATCTTTCCAAGAAGGAGGCAACTTGTCAATAATAACAGCAATTTGAAATTGTTCATCAAGAGCCATACCTTCGGAAATTATCTCATGAGCAATTTTTTGAAGTTCGTGGGACTGCACTTCCACGGACTTATCATCAGTCATCTGAAATTTCAAGTACCTGCTGACTGCATACTTT